ACGTTCACAAAATAGACGCAAACAGCTTCATTTCCTGGACAAGGATTTTCAAAGGTGTGCTGGGTGTTCGCCACCGTTTTGATCATATAAAATGTAAATAATTTAGCTCAGAGATGACTTTCAAGAATGATGCTTTTAAAACATGATTTTGCTTAGGTTAAGTTTAAGTCAAGCAAATTTAATTCTGGGATGCAAACTTTATGGCTGCCACCCAGGTTTCTCGCTTGTCCTCATGATGTGATTAAATAATCATGTTACGACACCGTGACTACGCCATCTGTTTACCGCGCGCAACTATAATAACTGCTCAGACAGGAAAGATTTGCGATTTCGAATGAAATGATTATAGCTACGGGTGTAAACATGAGTAGTTTTTGGATATCATAAAAGTCAGGTGGAGTTCTAAACTTCTGGTACAAACAGATTACTGGAGAAGAGGACAAGTTGTCTTCTTCGCCTGTAATGTGCTTGTACAAGAAGTGAACGAGCATTCAGTTCATTGGATGTCCTTTCTAAAGCCAACGCGTGGGTCACCGATCTTCCCACAAACAATTTAGAACCGACTGAGGAATCAGTTGGCTCCTAATTGTTTGTGGGAAGATCAGGGAGGGGCGGAACCGACTGTGTCCCAACCATTTTGTCCTATATCGTACGTTGTAAATTACTACATATTATGTAGAGGAAGTTTTAACCTTGTGTTTTTTTAAGTATTAAATATCTTTTTACGGGTTGTTGTTTAGTCATTTGTAACGTTTTTGATTGAACGCAACAATATTTAGTTCATAAGCACGTTTTATGATCAGTTTTGTACTAAGAAAAAAATTAATGAATAGTTTACCTTATGCATAAGACTTACCTTCACAGGCCTTCATCCCTTCAGAGAGATTTGAAATGACCGCTCGAGCTTTGTCCAGTTCACTCTGGGCATTAGCTGCCATCTTTTTGAAAAGATCTTTTTGTCTTGTATGACACTTTTCTCTCCTAAGTAGAGTGTCCTACAAGTCTTTAATTTCAGTCTGGAGAGACTCGTTTTCTTTTTCATACTGAATGCGTAGATCGTCCATTTTGTCACGTGATTCTTTCAGTTGATTTTCCAAGGCAGAGTTCCTTTTTAGGAGTTCTTTCTCTCTCTCTAATGTAGTTATAAAAGCTTAGCTCAGTGGTGAATAACCGCATTTTTTGTCTCAAATATCCTCTGAAAGTATGATTGTCCTAAATTCTCTAAAGCTAACCGAATTCAGGGAATGGTGCTCTGATATGCTTTAGAAAGTTAGATGGTCAGTATAAGCAATGAGCCAATAGTCAACTGACTAAGCTCTAACGTCTCACACGTCATACCAATCGGGGATCACGGCTGAATAGACAGACAGACAGAAAGACAGACAGACAGACAGACAGACAGACAGACAAACAAACAGACAGTCAATAAACGTGGTCCTTTCTTCAGTCATCCGGTCGATAAGTCAAACCATATATTGGTTGGTCAGTCAGTCAGTCAGTCAGTAAGACGATCGGTCAGTCACTGGGTCAGTCATTCAGTAACTCAGTCACTTGGTCAGTCAGTCGATCGGTCAGTCACTCGGTGAGTAATTCAGTTACTCAGTCAGTCTCTTGGTCAGTCAGTCAAGCAGTGACTCGGTCAGTCAGGCAGTTACTGAGTCAGTCACTTGGTCTATCGGTCAGTCGGTGACTCGGTCAGTCTTATTTAAAGACAGATCAGTTGTTTCAACGTAACCAGCACATCATTCACGAATACCTTGATGTGTTTCAGTCCGCAAGTGACTAAGCTTTCAAATAATCGATAGTTATACACCTTCATCACTTTATTTTATTGCGGATTTGACGACAAAAACCGACAGAGGCCTGCATATTGGATGATTATCCTCTTTGTTGAGAGAAATTACCTTTAATGAGTTGTCAGACAGTGGAGCAAAAAGGCGTGGGGGGGGGAGGAGTTGTCCAAAAACGGTGAGAGTTGCGCTAAGAAATATGAGGAACAATCTCTGCCGTTTCCAGCGTTTTCTTCGCCCACTCACTATTGCGTTGGTCTGCATCGACCACCAGCCTGGATTAAAATTGGAAAAAAAAGATATCTTACCTAGGTATTGTTGTTCAAGGACTGCCATCTTTTCCTCCAATTCTTTATCCTTCTTACCCTAGTTCAATAAGATTAAGTACATTTGACGTTTTATATACAAAACATTGTAACATATAATATTATAACATAACATATCGAGCCAGGACGTTTTAAAGCACGCCGACCATGAGAACTCCGCAAAGGCGCATAACACACAATAACTGAAATTTGAGTTTTCAAAGAACAAAGATTGGGTGTGTTGCAAAATCAGCTATAATTTAGTCTGACTTCTTAAATGGTTAAATACTCTTCATAACAAAATGATTGCCAAACTAACCTTTAGAGCCCTTTTTGTTTACTTGTTATAGATAGGAGAAATTTTTTCAACTTTTTCCTTCAATAACGTTCTTCGAAAGAAAACGAAATCGGTGCGTCGTAGTTGAAGAGCATTTCCGCGCGCTTGATTCATCTCAAAATTGAGTACAAAAGTAAGAAAGAAA